ATAATATTCTACTTTTAAATAAACCAAAATAATAGATAAGTCCTCCAGCTGCGGATCCTCAACCTTGAGACTTGAACTTCTAATAACCTGAAAAATAAATCGTGGGTTAAACCCTACAAGCAAGTTCTCTCTACCAAACATCTGAAAACTAATAAATAGATCATCTCTGATCAAAAGCAAACCTGATAAAATTTTAACCTTAATATACCATGATATATATATATATATATAACTAATTATATACAGTATAACAATAACATCTATAGCTAGGTGCATTAATTCCAAAATCAATAATGATTTTAAGTATTTAAATCACACAGCCAATATCGAGGCTTTGACAAGTCATCCATGTCACCTTCAGTATTATTTTATTAATATGTATAAAACAATACCTTAACCTATAAGTACTAGACTATTTTAATTTAAGAATATTTAATCCTAATCCACCTTATACATACAATAATCATAGATGATATATTTTAATCATCAAACCCATAGCAATATAATTACACCTTGGCATATCAACCATGCCATTATAAATATATTTATTTATACCTTGGCAATTCAACCATGCCTCCTGAAAGTATATATATTTATACCTTGGCAATTCAACCATGCCTCCTTAAGTATATATTTTTTATACTTTTAACTTAACAACTCATCCATGCTTCCTATTTATATTTTATTCATCCCTATACTTAGGCAATATTTTTACACATTTGGCAACTTATCCATGCCTACAATTCAACCATGTACCAAACCTTATAAATTAATTTACCAACCAAACAATTCATACATAGGCAAATTAACTTATCAATAAAATAACTCATACCTAGGCATTCCATACATATCATATGCATATAATTAATTTAATAACCAGCTTATCCATATATACCAAATAAGACTAATATTTTAATCACCTTAAATGATATATACATATACCAATATATTATACAATATATATATGTATAATACTTTCCCCACACACACACACACACACACACACACACACACACATATATATATATATATATCCACATCTCATTCCATCACAAAAAGTATTAATTAACTATGTAAACGTTAATTAAATGCTACTAATAATGTAGTAGTACTCTATGGCTCTAGGAATACCAAGAATACCTCTTCCAATGGTTGCGTTCGACCCTAATGGCTTAAATATCAACTCTGGGAATTTACCGAACCCCACAGGAGCTTTCCAGGACTCCAAACACTGCCTCGCGCGCCACCACACGCCCCCAGACTGCTGCACGAGCATCCACGCGCTTCCCTTCATAGGACTCGCCTGCACGCGCTCCCACGTGCTTTTCTTACTCGCGGAGTGAGGTGGCGTCTTTTGGTTGGTTGGCTCCATTTTGCTTCGGTAAGCTTACCACACTGGATCCATCTACTCCGTTACACCTCATCCAATGGTCCAAAATCCATACGCTCTTGAACACGCCCACACAGGATTATCCTACACCCATCAACTCTATCCAACACCCCAGATCAGCGAGTGTAAACTTTTCCATACACCTGACCACATTAGATCGTTTACTGGTCATCAAAATCATCAAATGGTCCTGCCTTGTGGTGCACCAAAGTGCTGCGCACTGCAACTCACCTAAACCTCACCCATTTGATGCGCAGATGCATACTGTGCATATATTTATTTAAAAATTATAAAATAATTCTAAAATAAATCCCAGAATATTTCAAAAAAATACAAAACACATTCTAAAAATATTCTAAAAATCCAAAAAAATTACAGAAAATTCCAGATAAATTCCAGAAAAATATAAAAACCCTAATTAACCCTTTTGGGTCATAAATCCACCTATACATTGCTTTTACAATATATATACAACACCTTATATTTATCAATTTAAAATCCAAAATTCCAACAGATCAATTATAATAATTTATGTTTTTAATTAATCTAGTCTAACAATGATTTTCAAACAAACAAATTTAATCTGAATATTGATACTCAAGGTGATAAACTTATAGGTCCTAAGAGGAGAGTTAGAAAAGATTTTACTTGAAGGTTTCAAAATGAAACCGACGCTTCAATCTTTGATTGTCTTTTCAAATTCTGGCATCATTTTTCTCAGATCCGGCCTACTCCTGGTCAACTTTCCCTTATTCTTCTCTCTCTATCTCTCTTATTTTTCTAACGTGTAAAATTTTTAATAATAAAACCTTATGTCTATATTTATAAACAGTAATTACCCTCATCCCATTCCTACTAGGATTACTAAATAAAAATAATAGTAATTATCTTTTAAATAATATTATATATATAAACATAGATTATATTACATATATATATATATATATATATATATATATATATATATATCTTCCATAATTAACTATTGGTCAATTAAATCATATATCCTATATATATCCTTCAATAATACCAATTAATTAATTATATTTATATATAATTAAATATATAGTTATAATTATACAAAAATGATTATTTAAATAATCACAAAACCATGGGCTTTATTAATTAACCCAATAAAGCTTCATATAAGCCTAAGATCCCATCTTTTGGTTCAACTTCCCTTAAGCCCAAATCCAATTAATTTAAATAAATCAAAAAATTAAATAAACACTTAAATTAAAAACTAATTACATAAACAAAATAATAAATTACAACCAAGTCACACCACACCAATAAAATCAATACGCCAACAATTCAATCAATAATTAAGCACACACACAACAATCATCATATCAATAATTCATGAAATATAAATAAAATAAAACACTTAATCAAGCACTCAAAAAAACAAATTAATTAAAAATTAAAGAAAAAAACACAATTAATTTAAATTAAATCAAATAAATCATTTAAAATAAAATAAAAGTAATTAATTTTGTTTAATAAATCCTTTAAAATATCGGGGTATTACAGTACCGTCCCGAATATAAGTTATGATCGGATCAATCCAACTTGGCTCATATGGAATAACATTCACTTACCAAAGATCTGGGCCCGAAGGTTCTTCAAAAATGGATAGCTGGTTCAGTATTCCTACTGGAATCACCCTTGCCAATGTCTCTCCAAAACTCAAGGCGCTACATGCTAGCCGATCGGCATCTTCATTATGCTCTCTCGGTATTTGGATGAATTCAATTTTTTCAAAGTTTCTGACTTCTCGCATAACAGCAGAATGATATGCTTCCATCATTTCATCCTTGGCTTCATATTCGTCATTCACCTGCCGAACAATTAACTGCGAGTCACTAAAGACGGTCAAATTCCTGACCTTCAGCTCTTTGGCGAGCTTAAGTCCAGCCAGTAGTGCCTCATATTCTGCTTTATTGTTAGTGGTTCTGAATTCAAGCCGGAGCGCTTGACTTAGGGACGTGCCTTCTGGTGTCTGCAGTTTAACCCCAATGCCTGCCCCCATATGATTTGAGGATCCATCGACAAAGAGTTTCCACAAGCAACCTCGAAGGTCTTCCTCCATGTCTTCTGAATCACATTCCAGTAAGAAATCTGCCACTGCTTGCCCTTTGACCGCCGTTCTGGGTTCATATGTTATGTCAAATGAGCTTAACTCTATGGCCCACTTTGTCATCCTTCCTGAGAGGTCTGGCTTATGCAGGATTATTCTAATAGGGAAAGTGGTTAGAACGATGATAGGATGGGATTCAAAATAATGCCTGAGCTTTCTTTTCGCATGTACTAACGAGAGTATCACCCGCTCGGCCTTTGAATAATGTCATTCTGCCTTAGTTATCATTTTGTTAACTAGATATTGCTTTCCTTCTTTACAATGGATCAGAACGCCACTTGTCGCGATGCTGGATACCCCGAGGTATAGAAATAGTTTTTCTCCTAGTTCGAGAGCTGACAGGACCGGAAGGTTCTGCATATATTCTTTCAAACCAGTTAATGCTCGGTGTTGTTCATCCCCCCAAACTTGTCTCCCATGGCTTCGTATTGTGTCAAAAAATGGTTTGCAGCGATCTGACAATTTGGAAATGAACCGGCTCAATGCAGCTGTCCGACCCGTAAATGATTGCACTTCTTTGATTGTCTTCGGCTCGGCATTCTTGGTCAGAGCTTCTACTTGGGCAGGGCTAGCTTCTATGCCTCTATGATTAACCACATATCCCAGGAACTGACCAGAACTCACGCCGAATGAGTACTTGGTTGGATTGAACTTCATTCCATATTGCCTCAACACATCAAATACGTCTTGTATATGTTTCAAATGGTCAACTTTCTTCTTACTTTTTACTACCATGTCATCAATGTAGGCTTCCACAGTTTTCCCTATTTGATCCTTGAAAATTTTGCTAATAAGCCTTTGATAAGTTACTCCAGCGTTCTTCAGTCCGAACGATATAACTTTGTAGCAATAGGTCCCTCGCTCGGTAACGAAAGAAGTTTTCTCTTCATTAACAGGGTCCATGGGGATCTGATTATAACCTGAATAAGCATCTAAGAAGGTTAAACGTTCATACCCAATATTAGCATCCACCATTTGATCAATCTTCGGCAACGGGAAGCTGTCCTTAGGGCAGGCTTTGTTCAAATTGGTGAAATCAATACACACTCGCCATTTTTTATTCTTCTTCTGCATAACAACAACATTCGAGAGCCATTCTAGGTATTGCACTTCTCTAATGAACCCTGCATCAAGCAATCTATCAACTTCCCCGGCTATGATCTGATTACGTTTTGGAGCGAACCTCCTCTGCTTTTGCCTCACAGGTTTGACGTTCGGATTGACGTAAAGAGAATGACCGGATACAAAAGGATTGATTCCAGGCATGTCTAGGTGGCTCCATGCGAATACATCGACGTTCTGAGATAAGAAATCAACTAACTCCTGTTTTTCCCCCTCAGCAAGTCTTACCCCCACTCTGGTTGTTCGTTCTGGTCGAAATTGATCGATCTGTACATCAACTAGGGGCTCTTCGATCAAGTCCATTGGCTCCTCCTCCCCATTCTGCTTGGGTGGAGGTTCCTGTAATTGCTATCTCGGGCTTGCCGAACGGATGGGTGCTTTCCCTTTTCCAGCATATTTCAGCGTTACTGAATAACATTCCTTAGCTGCAACCTGGTCCCCATGAATGTCAATCACCTTGGTTCTGTCTGGCCCCAGGCATCTCATTACTTGATGCAGAGTGGAAGGAACACCTTGAACTCTGTGGATCCACCCTCTGCCCATCAGAAGGTTGTAAGAGAGATGGATCTCGACAACCACAAAGCTCTCCATCAGAACCCTTTCTGCAGCATGCACTGCTACTTCCACCACTCCAATGGGTTCCATCCGCTTTCCATCGAACTCGAGCAAGGGATTGCCAGTGGGCTTGAGCCTATCGGGCTTTATATCGAGCCGATCGAACGTGTCCCTTGGTATAAAATTTGCACTACTTCCATGATCAATCAGAACCCTTCGTACCAAGCATTCGGCCAATGTTAAACTAACGACTAACGGGTCCTTATGAGGGATCTAAACACGCAACAGATCAGTTCTGTCAAACTTTATATGTGTTGATTCGCTCTGTTGGTGCAGAGTGTTTACACTGCCTATCCTCCTCTTCATCTGCGCCTGGCGAAGCCGTGTTCAAAGCAGTTCATTTGACTCTTCATATTTAGGCCGGCCATGAATTACATTGATTATTCGAACTGGTTGCGATATGGGAGTTCGGCTTCTGATTCCTCTTCACTTACTCCGCCGGTTGGCTCTGCTCTACCGCCGGGCCTTGAATATAACTTGCGAACTCCCCTCTGGCTATCAACGTCTCCACTTACCTCCTTAAGTTCCTGCATTCGTTAGTCTGATGCCCAAAGTCAGAATAGAAAGCGCAATGCTTAGGCTGATCTCTCTGCTCCAGGGGTTGTCTGATAGGTAAAGGAGGTCGGAACTTATCTCTGTTTTCTTGGTACAGCCTTGCTAGAGTGACTTTTAATGGAGTGACCTATTCCTCTTCCCTGGGCCTCTTTTCTGCTTTTCAAGGGATCTGCCGCTGTGATGGAGCTGGTTTTTGCCTGATCTTGGCTTTGGACTTTTTCTCTGTTGATATAATTGATGTTTTCCTTGCATTAGCTGCCTCTTCCTCTTCCAAACGAACAAATCCATCAGCTCTTTCGTTCAGCTCGTCCATGGTCTGTGGCGTGTTCACCACCAGACTTGTGTGGAACAGAGTCCCACGAATCATGTAATACCCTTAGTTTTAAAAATGATAAAATTGGGATTTTTATTTATTTATTGATTAATTGATTTAATTTTGTGATTTAGTTGTTTTGTTTTTCTTAAGTGATTAATAGTGTGTATTTAAATTAATATTGTTTAATTGTGAATAGTGGGTATGTATTTAATTATTTATTGTCTTGAATTTATGTTTGTGTTTTGAGTGATTATTTATTTGCTTTCCTTATTTGTTTTACGTGTAATTAATTAATTAGGTTTAGGGTGTTACGATTATGTAATTAAGGGTGCCGACTTATAGGAGGTTGGAATTAGGGTAAAGTTTTTATGGTAGCCTATATATTTAACTTTACAAGTCTGCTAGGGTTAAAAACAAACCTATGTACGTAAGAATTCTTGAGAGAGAAAACAGAGGCACACATAATGGTTTTGAGAAGAAACTATATGGGCCACCAGTTAAGAGTTCAACTGTGACCTGAAGGTCGTATCAAGGAGGAAAGAGTGGATGGATTGTGGTATTGGAACTGAGCAGTAGGAAGGTTGCCAGTTGTTTGTTCGTCGGAAACTCCATAGACGACGTTGTAAGGTTTCAAACCGAAACCTAAAGGCAAGTTTCATTCTATCTCCTTCCTGTAAACTTGTATTCTGTGCATTCTATATGGTCTCCAGGAAATTAATTTAACTTTAAAATGGAAGGTTGATACAAGATTATCAGACTGTAACCTGTTACATGCTTAATTAACTGGTCTCAGTTCTCTTGCATAAATTGTGTTGTTTTCGGTTTAGATTTTTGTCAATTGATTTACATTGGAACATGAAGGGCTTCTAAGGTTGTTTAGACTCTAATTGAACCCTGTAAACTTTTATAAAAAAAAATTCAGAACCAAAGGATGGAGTTCGCCGGTAACAGAGAGGGCAAACAAGGGAAGCATAAACTGTTTCGTTTATGGTTTATGTTTTGTCAATTAATTCATATTCAAATTGGAGAAGCTTCTAGGATTGTTAGGACTTAAATGGATAGTAAAATTTATTTAATTAACGTGCTTGAATTTAAAGGAATTTAATTGCATGAAATTGAATTTGTTTTAGGACTGCTTTTACGGTTGGATTATGTACCTGTTTTAACCATGATTTCTCTTGAATGTACACTTGTTTTGAATCATGTAGTATCGCAAAAATTACTTTTTATAATTAGTTGGGATGGTCTGGAACTTAAAACATTGGGTTAGGAACTTGAACAAGGGCAACCGGAAAGTTAGAAAGTGTCCGGAATTGAAGAAGACGGAGGTTCAGATAATGGAGCAGGCTCCATTCTTCAAAGGAGCCGACTCCATTGAGATGGAGCAGGCTCTAAACTATTATGGAGCTGGCTCCAAGAGGATAGAGCAGGCTCCAAAATATAATGGAGCCAGCTCCACTTTTGGTAATGCACAGTAAGTGCGTTTTTGTGGTTTTTCTGATTTCAGGGGCTTAAATGAAATTAATGGAAAGTGGTGTGGGGTTTTAGATGTTTAAAATTAACCTATTAAAACCATAAATTAGTTAGTATATGCTATTGTGTTAATATAAATGGACATCATGAATTTTTTTTTAAAAATTAATGTGCATGTTGTCCAGGAAGTAGAAAGTCTTAAATTTCTAGTTTGGTTAGCCAATTGAATGGACTGAATTGAAAGATATTTTAGGGATGTTGTACCAAAGATATTTGTGATATATTTAAGTTTCATGAGGTTTGGTTGGGTTGTGGTTGTGGACGTCATGTAATTTAAATACATTGTTGCATGCTGTCAGGAGTGGAGGAGTTTTTTATTTGCCTGTTTGTTTTAACCAGTTTATTTTGGTAAGTATAAAATACCATTGGGGTTGTATATAATGTGTTATGAGACTTCTTAGTTGACATATTATGTCAAGTACAGGTTTTAACATGGAGGATTAAAAAGGACGTCATGTAATGAAACGATAATTTTCATGCCGTTAGGGATTAAGGAGGATTTTCATTACCAGTCTTTGTTTTAATAATTTAAATGAACTAGTATGAGAGTATGGTTAGGGATGTCTAGTATAATGTGCTCAGCTCATATTTCTGATAGTCATTATACCATGGTGTGGGTGTTAATTGATGAACTATTTAAATTTCTGTTTTGTCAATTGGATGGATATAGATGGTTTAAATTGTCTATCAATACGTTAACAATTTAAATGGAAGTTTATGATTATAATCATATACTGGATGCATAATTTGGTCATACATATAATAGACTGTATTTATGTTTATTTTGGAGTATGGTTGATGAATATTTATTATTAATTTGTCAACTATATTGGATGGAGGATGGTATGCACCGGTATGGGACGGTGGCATACTAGGTATGGATTAGTTCAAACACTATAACCTACCTATTCTGGATTGAGGTGTGAATTTACCATAAATGTTCAGTCCCACTCATATTTGTGTCATATCAATTATGAATTGAATGACCTACTTTGGTTTCTGGATGGATTGTTATACTTATATCAGACCACTACAAAAGATGGATAATATTTTGTATTAGGAGTATACGGACTTTATATACATATCATTATAGTGCCATGGTATGAGCTTGAGTCTCAGGACCATGGTTAGGGTGCGTATATCGCCTAGGATGGATAACTGGATACAGGTGTTGTTCCCTGGTAGGTCTAGATACACATGACCACAGTATGTGCTATTTGCATGGTATCTCTACTCAGGCTGAGACAGACCTATTGGACTAGTGAGCGTCCTATAGTGTGTATCTATATCTATATGGACTATTTTAGCTATTGCCGAGCTATCTAGGATGTATCTGCGTATCGGGTTTATGTATGGATTGTAGTAGTATGAAACTAGCATGTGGGCCTGACCCACCCTTATTTTTCAGGTGTTCGTGAGTACCAGGCTTAGGGCTTGATCGTGGTGATGCAGATACAGACACTCACTCTTCCGACTATATAGGAGTTTCTTTCTTATTTTAGTTTTGGGTTTTAATTCTGTATTTCATTTACAGTTGAGGATTATTAGGGGTCCACTTGGTGGATTCCCGAGTTGTAAGGATTGTAAGGTTTAAATTATATTAAAATTTTATTTAAGGATTTTTCGTATTTAGAATTCTTATCAGCTTATTATTATTTTATCTTATTTCATTTTTTTTATATTCTGTGTTCAATTACATATTAATTGTTTGGTATCTCTCGGATCTGTACTCGGACTTGATCACCCGTGGCTCTAGAATCGAGGGGTATCACAAATCATGGCCAGCTTGAATGCCTGAACCGCCATGAACGGATGGCACTCGATCACTATGCTCTTGGTTAAATTGAATCTGGTAAGAAAGGCTTGGAGGCGTTCACCTTCATGCTGCCTCATCGTGAACAGACTGGAGACATCTTTTGCTGGGCGCTTATTCCTATAGTATTGGCTGATGAACCAATCGTAAAGGCTTCGGAAACTATCAATCGAGCCCCTCGGTAAGTTTTTGAACAAATTGAGCGCTGGTCCCGCTAAGCTTGTTGGAAAACATTTGCACATTAAGGAGTCGTTCTCCGTGTTCAGAGTCATCTTCAATTGGATATGATATACATGATCGATCGGATCAGTCGTTCCGTCAAACAGGATGAAAGCTGGCATGGAGAATTTCTTTAGACTCGGAGCATTCAGAATTTCATCGGTAAACGGCGAGTCAATCGTCCGAGCTGCTGAACGAAGGGCCTCATTCTCTCTATGGAACCTTGCGGCAGCTCTCTGATCCGTAGTCTCCTTTCTGAGCTTCGGTAGTCTAACGTAGTCATTGAAGGTCGATAAAGTGAATCGGATGATCTTTCCCTCCATGTATTCCTTCTGCCAGATCGGTGTAGTTTTGTGATGTCTAAACTCCACAGCTTCTTCTCAGTTGAACCTCTCCTGATACGGATTAAAAGTCATTGCCTCGTTTCGCCTGATCTGATCACGCCGTGGATCTAAGTGAATTGAGCCTTCTCGATCATCAAAACGACGAGGATTTGACGGTAAATCATCTGGCCTATCCTCCTCGTGATGAGGATTTATCAGATTGTTCTCTTCCTCTTCACCTTGACGCGTAACAACAGGATGCATAACCTCTTCATCCGCCGGAAGTGGTTGCAGAATCGCCGGAGCTTCTTGGCGCTGCATTCCAGCTTTCAACTCTGCATTCTCTTTCCTGAGAACTTCGATCATGTTCATCAACTCATTAAGCTTCATCTGTTGGACATTCTCCACAGGATTGGAGCTTTCACCTCCTATCATGATTCGGGAGCGAAGCAAAGGCATTAATCACAAGATCTTAATCAGATATGAGCTTTACTGATGCAACTCTCGTCGGATCTGGACTCAAATTCACCGAATCGCGATCACAGTTTGCTAGATCTGAACTTTTCTAGCTTCTAACTCACCGGATCTAGCTGCAATCAAGCAAATCTCAACTGCGTAATTCCAACGTAAACATGTCAAAACCAACAGTAATCAAGAATTCCTTCAGAAAAAACTACAATCTCTCCGATCTGGATTCAATTTCTAGAAATTTTGCTTCGTCTTCATGGATCAGTTTGAATTAACATGACATCGATCAAGCATGAATGAATGTTC